TGATCAGGCCCTGATCCATCGGGAGGCCTGGTCATCGACCGGGCCGCGGGGGCGTTGATCCCCGGAATAACCTCCAGGTAACTCCAGGTAGTGAAGTTTTCTTCTGAGCGCCGTATCAAAGGATGCCGCCTTTTCACACCTAGGTGTTACTTCCGGTATAGGGTTTCTTCTGTACGTCGTATCAAAGGGTGCCGCCTTTTCACACCTTTATGCTAATGACCTTGACCTCACCCTCGACCACCTCGCCCTCAACCCCCCACTCCCACCACGCCCTTAACCCCCCACCCGCGCCCTCGCGCCCACGCGCCCGCCCGACCGGGGCCCGCCCGCGCAGACCCGCACCCTCCCGCGCCCGTGCCCGCGCCTTCTGCAGCGCCGTCCGGATCGCCCCCACTCCCCGAATTTTTTTTCGATTTTTTTTTGAATTTATGGTCTCCATCTCCTCAGATCAAGTTTTTGGGTTCCCCTATGGGGGTAAGCATTCAAATGAACTCCCCCTATGGGACATGGTACTTTCTCATACAGGTCTAAACAAGTGTGACGTCACCCCACCTGTGTTTACCCAGCGGTCAGTGGCGTCACGTGATGACTTCACACAGGCTGAGTCTTGTCGACCAAACATTAACTTAAAATGCAGGATAACACTAATACACAATATTTTCATTTATTTATTTATTATACAACCAATGCATTTCATATAGATTTCTGGTAATACAACATGGGAATCACTCCATTCTTCTACGTTTAGATGGTGGAATATCAGGGTGTCCATAAGCCAAGGATTCATTAGTATTCAAATGATACCTTTTATTATCAAAGGCTGACAAGCCTCTCTTGTTAATTCTTACTGTACATATTTCACCTTTTACGTTACTTATAGACTTACACGTGAATAATTCTCTATCTATATTTGTTAAAACATTCTTGAATCTTGCATGAGTTAATAATGGCATAAAATGTGGCAGGATACCCTTGGCTCTGCTGACAGTAGTTGATCTTCCAGCAATCTTTACAGAATACATTTTATCTTTCAGTGCTATCAACTCACTAATATGATTATCACACATTTCAATAACCCCAGCTCACCTTTTCTACTATTATCATATAAGGGATGATCAGGACTGAAATTTGAAAAATCCATATATCCTAACAAAGGTTCACTTTTTAACTCTGTGTACAAATTTTTGCATTTCAAGCTAAAAATATAAGAGTCAGTATCGGTATACAGAAGTCTTACATCATCACCATAATGCTGTTTTAAAACTTTATACCAAAAATGATACAATTTCTTTTTAGCAATCTCAAGAATTTGAAAACCGAGATAAAGTGGTTGTTTAACTTCTAATTTCTCTTTGTTGAATGTACAAATCACTCCGTCTTGATTCAAATGTGTGATATTTTTTAAGAAAGGATCTTAGCCGCTCTAACAAATGCTTTCTCATTCTTGATATATCTATAAGATTCAGCATACTTTGTGATATTCAACAATGATTTCCCATATATGGCGTTATTAGTTAATTTGAAAGCTTTTGACTTGATAGGACATCGTGTGGCTGTTCTCTGTGCGATATTAGTTATGAAAGGTTCTAAAAATTTTGACTGAGTATATTCATATATGGCATGAACTTTTTCCACCTCTAACCCAAGTTCCAGTAATAATTGTAACAAATCTAGACTGATCAAATAGTCTCCCTACGATCCCCGTTGGGGAGGGGAACCTTTACTTGCACGATGAGCTATGAAATCGTGTAAAGATCACGCCAAACAGTGGTACCGTTGATGATTCAACGAAACTTTCTCTTGCAACTGTTGTGCAGGGAACATTGCATGTTAAATTCAACGCTATTCTGACACTCAAAGAAGCACTCATTGTTGTATGTCACGATGATGCTGAAGCAGAGAAGTTACTACAGAAGCCACCACTACTCTTACTGCTCAAGGATTTACTGATACATCCTCTCCTGCCCTCAGGGCAAGAAAAATCAGTATTCCTGAAAAAGCTGGACACGTTTCTGACTTCTCAAACAATTGCCGAACTCAAGTTATCTATTGAAACGCAATATACTTGGGCTACTGTTGACAGCATTACCAAAATCCCGAATGCATCGTCTATGCTCTAGGTCACCTTTACCGACGTGAACATGGCTGCCACTGCTCTGAACGAAGGTCTTGCTGTTTACTACTACTATATCAGTCCCACCTATATAGAAGCAGAGAGATACCACTACATCCAACATTGTGGAACTAATATTCTTATCTTCACACCACCAAGACAAGAAGTTCTGCACTACATGTGGTAGTGAGGGACACACCTTCAGTTCCTGTACCGCCGCTGCTCCAACACAGCCACGGTTTTAAACTGCAAAAGTAATGATCACAATACACACTGGCGGCAAAATGTCCTACTAGAAAGGATATTATGAAGAAAACAAGATGCAACAAAGGAAAAATCTACAACAACACACCAACGTATGCCGCAATTGCAAAGTTGCAAGCAGACTACAAAATTACTTCAAGCATCTACTCAGCCCGCCTCCACCACATCACACTTCCAACATGTGACGTAACGAAGATTCACTGTCTACTGTAACGCTCACATGCAACCATGGCTGTACCTGGATCGTTTAACTCTACATCAACGAGTTATTTGCATTAAATAACATGCCATCATTTACATTTCCAGCATCTCCACCTTCTGAAGAAATTCTCAAATTCACCAAAAACTTAATCACCAACTCTTCTGCAGAAGTTCCACCAACACCAACTAGTGACGTCAATCCAACAACGACCAATGAGAAGCCCTCCACCGCCACCACCTCTCACTGAATCCAACCAATCAGAAGCCTTGCCACCAGAAACATCTAATTCGTCTACTGAAGTTGAAAACGAAGCAACACCACCTTCCTCTACTCCACCACCGCTTTCTCTACCTAGCTCACGTCGATTACCTGGAACACCATGGGTTAAACACAAAGGACTCACATTCTACACCACGAGGCAATACCCCGCAAGCATGACTCGCCTAGAACTCATCCAACATCTCCAAGACAACACTGCATCGTACCAAAGCGAAGACCATACCCTACCTACAACCAGATACTCCAACTCCAAACCAACGAATACTACTACAGCTCTCCCATATGTGTGATACAAATCTCTCGAAAACAATTCAATGCACTGAAAAACGGTTTAAGACCAGAACCAACTCATCCTGCTTGCTGCCTTCTGACACTTCCAGCTCCTGCCTCTGCCTTCGCCATCCTCTCCTAGTGAGCCAAGCAACGACATCATTCAAGCCTCTCCATCTACGTCTCCAGTACCACATGTCCCAAAGTGGTTGGGCCACTTGCCTTGATTCCTTCTCTTCCCCTCCTCCCCATCCTTTTCCAGTTATTTCCATCCTTCCTTATCCTTCTTCCTTCCCATCTTACGACAGCTCTCGTCGTCCTAGATTCAAGATTCAAGACTGATCAAATAATTTTTCTGAGGTAAATGACTGGCCACTAATTTCGCATTAGATTTGGGGATCTTTCTACCTTCATTTTTCAATACAGATTCACAATAAGGAGATAACATCTCTTGTGATATATTCTTGCGTGATAATATCAAGGGAAGTTTATTAGTACGTCTAGCTACCTCAGGGGACATGTGCTTGGTATCACATTGTATCCAATATCCCTTTTGACCTTCACACGAAACATTACTTAATCCCACATCGAGAAAAGCAATCTTATCCTCATTCGATAATTTTCTTATACCATTCTGTGGAAGAGCTTCAACCATTGCACTAGCATACAAACAATTATAATCTATTTATAAAATATGGGTGCCCATTCCACTCTCAACATCAAAATTGGGATTAAGGGATTATCTGCTTTAGTATATTAATTAATTACACACGTAAACCCTCCTCTGAGATTCCTTTTAATCAAGTCATATAACTCATGGGAATATATCATATCTAATTTTACATTAGTTTTCAAGAGGAATGTGTCTCAACTGAATGAAGGTAAACTTATATAATTACTAACATCTAGCTTATAAATATCTTTGGGTGTTTTACGCCACTCCATGAAGACATCGGCTAACAATCCAACATCTGTATTGAGATATAACATCAAATAATCTCCTAAAGTCTTACATTTACCCAAGTCAAACACTTTCGAAGCATGATCATAATCTTCCTGGCTAAAAGCGCTATTTCTCAAAGAACTCAAAAAATGTTCTTTACTCGGTAATTTTGTTTCATCGAGTTTCTTTAAACTATCAATATAATCATAGCACAAAACTTGTTTTCCTTTACATAATAAAGATAAGACATCCTGAGGCACATCTTTCAGATTAGCCTCTGTATATTTCAGTGATTTACCTGCCTTGATATGTTGATCTGCTAACGTGGAAAGAGATCCATTTAATAAAGACAGAGAATCTTGAAACCTAACCTTACCTATGTCTACTTTCAAGAATTTGAGTCCTTGTTTCGAATGAAGTTTAATTTCATATTAATCAACCTGCAATTCCTTTAAAATTATTCCTAAATCATACGACATGTTATGATAAAAAATAATTTATCACTCTTATCTTTACACTGCAAATATGCACCACAATATGCACCAATATAATTATTGAATTTTAAAGTGTGGTCATGATGTTTATGTTTGTCTTGGGCATTTTTGAAGGTGTTACCACATATTCACAGTGATCTGAGAATCGTGTCTCATCTTATCCTCCTCTGTCATATGGATTACATGATACTCTCTTCTAAACTTTATTTTAGTCCATTCACCACTAACATTTAAAATGAAATGATTAACAGCATCCTCCCCCTTATAACTCTTTGCGATCAAATATAATATAACAATAGGCAATGGCTTTATGACGAGACTCAATTTTACCTGCCGGGAGAGTGGTGTCTAATGCACATTCGAAATTAAATACACCGATATATTCGCTGGAATGTGTATGACTAAAATTTTTGAAGTGTACTGTTATTCCAGGGGAATACGAGAATCTGATTGATTTTACATCCATCTTCGTGGATATCTAACTCTTCCTGTGTATTCAACTTCATCAAACAACTATGACAGTGCTTCTTTACACCTTTTTCTGTCATTATCGTTCTAACATACCCGTCAAAATCTTTAATTAAAACCAAATGACTTTCATTCAACAATAACGCGCACATAATGTCCTTATATTTCTTATTCCCCTTACGACACATGCCACAAATGTCCCACTTTGATCCTTTCTTAATTGATAAACATATAATGACACTATTTTCCTTCTCTAATATACCTAACTTATCACGCGTAATGGGAAAATCATCTATAGAAGATTTTGCATGATTAAGACATCTTTCCTTAGTATTAACTGCTCTGGGGATATCACCCTATGATATGTTCTTTTTATGACATTGATAGGCAGCAAAAGCACGCAGTACACATAACCCATCATTAATCACTGGATTAAATACATATTGGTTCCCTCGCAGTTTCTTGGGATATGCCACATATGACCCCACTTGTACTCTGAATTCTACTTTAACATATTCGATACTGAAAGATTCGATTTGATCTATGATCCAACCAGATCCTTCCTGATCTTGCAACTCTGTCTCGTATCTTTCTAATATCGTTCCCACCCATAGATCAAATGCTTCAGAGATTTCCTCTTCACTTACTAACTCAAACGCTAAATTTATCACAAATTGTCCATTTTGATCATCACCCGAAATGTTTTGACGTAATGTCCTTGTAACTACAATCGGGTGGATTCTGAGCGACATTGCTCGAGGTGATCTATCATACATATCTCGCATCTGATCTATAAAATAATCCCTATAAGCATGTAAATACATTCTTAACTCTCTGTTATAAGTTGAAGGAACACTATATTTCCTCACTGTATGCCTACCTCTAAAATTCTGGATGTATGTGATAATTTCTGGTCTCTCATCATGTGAGGTAGTTGCTCTCATCTTCACCTCCACTATTGTGTGCGACATTACTGTCAGACACGTCATGCGAGGTAGTTACTCTCATCATCTTCATTAATGGGGACAGAAGTATCCACACCTCCGGTGCACCTCCGCGCTGTGAGGTACCAACACTAGCAGAACTACCTGCACTCATCTTCATTCCCCATCACACCTCCAAGCTGTGCGTCATTACTCTCAGTTTCATTCACAACAGTACCAGGTGTATTTCCTGCAGAGGAAAAAAGTATATCCAATTCATAACCCCAAAAAATATTTTTTACATATTACGAATTAAGATTTCAATGAATAGAACAAAAATATTTCTCGAGTGACTAACACAATTTTACGATAAATATTTTTCACAACAATTTTACAACAAAAGTAAAAGGCACTGATCACAGTTTGGATACATACCAGTTTCTACAGCCTTCTTCTATAATACATCTATGTGATCCCACTCATTCTGTAATTCTAACAACCTCTCATTGCGATGTACACCTCCTCTCTTGATTTCCAACGATCGTCGCCTTCTTATCGACAATCTCCTCTTCACTAATGCTTCCAAGTAATTCGCGTATATTCTTTTCTTATCCTCTGTTAAGAATTTCACTTATTAACGCACTTTTCCAGCAAAAATTTCACTCGTATGCTCCAACAACAAAATTAACCCAAAACATTTTTTCCGTTATATCATTCCACTTGTTAAATGTTACACTCCAAGTATTGTAACCACTATTTCCTTCTGTTTAGAGCATAACAACTTTGGTCAGAGAGGTTAGGGTAATAATAGTGATCCTCCGGAATGACTAATTTTAATTAAGTATATTCATGATACAACAAAAAGCCAGAAATAATAATATACGAATTATCGTATATAAGTTAAGAATGCATGTTTGTTCTATATTGTCCAAAATATATAACGCTTTCATAACAGATGATTAGGAGGAGATCCTAGATATAACATATATATATTTTATATTAATATATATATATATATATATTATATATATATATATATTATATATATATGAGATTACTTTAATGTATAAAGTCTTATTTCCCAATTGGAAGCAGTCAGAATAAAACAGAATATGTCCAGGCCGGATAATCAACCTTGGCCAGTTACCAGAGACGAGCAGGAGTGTTCTCGTTGGCTGCTACTTCTTCACTGCTCGTCCCTCAACCTTGAGCATACAGGTCAAGTGAGTCACGTGACGTGACTCGCCAACACTCAGTAGAGTAGTTGAACATAAAGGGGGGGAAAGGGGGGATATAACCATCGAACATCACGGCTAACCATACACCGGCACACCGGGTGGCAGGCATGTTACTATACCTCCAATTAAACTTATCATGGCCATGTTACCTAAATTATAGTAATTGTTAATAAGAATTAGCCTTAATAATACAAGGACGTTCATTTCCAATTTAGCTATTAAAGGAAATAACCGCAATGTAATATTAAAGAAAGATTAACCATAGGGGCATGACATTAAATAATATCTGTTTCACCACATATCACGATTTTCTAAGTACAACTTACCTTTCTCCATGATGTGTGTGGATTCACCGTTGGAAAATGAGGCTTGACGGATGGAAACACAATCCCCGCTCTGAGAGACTCCTTGACCTTATATGGGTCACCCCCAAAGTATTGCGTCATGATTTTTGTACAACCCCCTCCGGCGATAATCTCCTTACTGAACACATGTGTCAACACGGGTCAGACAGACGACCACCATGAAATGGTGTTCACACCCAAGGTAGAAAATCACATAGTCATTACGTATCTCCTTACTGAACACCTGTGTCAACACAGGGCAGACAGACGCCATGAAATGGTGTTCACATCCAAGGTAGAAAATCACATGGTCATTACGTATCTCCTTACAGAACATCCGTGTCAATCGGTACCATAAAGTAACTAATTTTGGTGAACATTGTCTGCATCGCTCTTGGGCTGTGTAGACCCCCTTGCCTGACGCTCCTCAGTAACCTGACAGCAGTGGTACGAGGAGGTGTTGTTGTGTCTCTGTTGACACCGCTGGGAAATTACTGGTGTTAAGATGGCGGTTTGTCATCGCAGACGCATTAATACTATTGGTATTGAACTACTTCGAGGTGCGATTACACCTAGTTCAGCTCAAATACTCTTACCCAAGATAATCAGGGAGACATACGGCATAAAAGATGGTGAATTGTATGGGGTAGCGCTGAACGGAGCGCATAGAGTATTTGTGAAACTGCTTCCTGGGACAGTTTATGAATCGGTGGTTACGCGCTTTCAAGATGTGTGTTTTGACGTTACGCCTGCTGTGCGTGTGAGACTGGTGGACGTGTCTCGATATTATACTTGGATAAAGTTGCGGAATGTCCCCTTTGAGGCAAACGAAGCTGACATCAGAAACGTATTTGAGAAATATGGAACTGTGCATTCTGCCCAGCAGGGTAAGTGGATAATGGGTGCCTACGCAGGTATGCCGGAAGGTACATTCAGCCTTAAGATGACGTGCGTCAACCCATACCGTCATACGTGTATCTTCAAGATTTTAGGACACAGGTAATGGTTTTATATCCTGGACAACGGCGTACGTGTCGCATTTGTGGAGAGTATGACCACATAGCAGCGGCATGCGAAAAGAACAGACGCGTGACCAAACCTGTGCAAGAAGAAGTAGCCCCAGTCACACGTGATGAAGGTGAGCATCGTTCGTCAGAGGAAGGGCGTGGTCGTTTGTGCAGTGAGATGGTGGAACAGGCTTTTCGAAATGAGAGTGAGTCCTCCCCTCAGCTCCCTGCACCTGAGTCGTTGCCGATAGCATCTGCTGGGCTGGTACCCCGGCATGACGTGTTGAGTATAGGTGAGGATTTGGACGAAGTTTTAAGGACCTTGTCACCGCAGTGGTGGAAGCTCCGTCTCCGGAAGACGTAGCTGGAGACTTTCTGAGTCCGGATTGTCAACAATATGAGACTCAGCAGAAGGACGACGAGACTAGGACGTCGGGAGACTTCATACCTCATTGTGAGGTGGATGTTGAGGTACACTGTGAAGCTTCCTCGGATCTTGACATGGAGGATAAGAACGTTACGAGGAAACGGGCAGCTACGTCAGATTCGAATGACGTACTGACGCCGGCACAGAGGACTGGAAAAAAAACTGAGAGGATGGGTGAGGGGAGGGGCCGGGAGGGGGGGGTCATGAGGGACGCCATCGCAAGAAGGGAGGCGAATGGGAAGGTACTGTAAAGAAGACACATAGACGTAACAAATCAAGTGGTGAACCACGGGAGGAGAAGAGGAAAGGGTGGAAAATATAACAGGCCTTAGGTGTATGACTGCTAATGTTAACGGTTTATGTACTAGACTAATGAGAGATTGGTTGAACAGTTTTCTTAGCAAACATAGAATTGATGTTCTGTTCCTTCAAGAACACAATTTCAAAGAAGGAGAAGTGTTGCAGGTTGCAGGTTATACAGTACTGACCCTGCCAACTATCCGTTTGAAAGGTGGTGTGGGTCTTTTAATAAAAGAGACGAGCCCGTTTGTGTTGCAGAGATGTGAGGGGGGTGGGGGGAGGGTGTTGCAGAGATGTGAGGGGGGTGGGGGGAGGGTGTTGCAGAGATGTGAGGGGGGTGGGGGAGGGTGTTGCAGAGATGTTGAGGGGGGTGGGGGGAGGTTGTTGCAGAGATGTGATGGGGGTGGGGGGGGAGGGTGTTGCAGAGATGTGAGGGGGGTGGGGGGAGGGTGTTGCAGAGATGTGAGGGGGGTGGGGGGAGGGTGTTGGGAGTGGATGGGACTTGGATGGGAAAGCGTGTATCCTTGGTAAGTGTCTATGCCCCTGCGGAGAATGACACGAAGGTTCGAACGGATTTTGTTTATTTTTTGCGTGCTCTTCCGGAACTGTGTCATAAGGGCGGCTGACGTCGAACCCAAAGGGGCTGGGCATGTGTCTGCACCTCTCAGAGATTTGTTGAGGGATGATAAGTTAAGAGATGTGTTTGGGGGAGGGGTGTGGGAAACAGAACATACTTTTATCAGAAGGGGATATGCTGCAAGGTTAGACAGAGTGTATATTTCGCAGGGAGTAGTTGTAAAGTCTTTTAATACGGTGGAGACGGTCTTGTCAGATCACAGGGCAGTTGTAGTGGAGGTAGGGTGGGAGGGAATGGCCGAAATTTATAAGAATTATTGGAAATTAAATATTAGTGTGTTAAGTGATGAGGAAGGGTTAGAGGGTTTTTCTATGCTATGGAATGAGCTTTCAAGGGAAGCTCAGGAGGTGGAAGACATTGTAACGTGGTGGGACTCGGTGGCAAAGGATAAAATCCTTTTACGTGAGGGAGGGTAGGCGTATAAACACTTTAAAATATGGGCTAGCGAATTATTTAGAGGATCGATTACGAGGTTGTTATGGGAAAGGATCGGTTGGTGGTATTTACCCCATGGACGAGATTGTAGACATAAAAGAGAGCTTGCGAACGTTGCATAATGAGCGGTTTCAAGCGGTGAGGGTGCAAGCAGGATTAGAAGAAGTTTTGTGGGGAGACAGGCCATCCGCGTGTGTGTTGAGACAACAAAAGCAAAAGCAGGCGCTGACGGCAATCCCGAGCTTGGAGGTAAATGAGACGATGGGAATCCATAGAGCAGGTCAAGTGATAAGAAACTCAAAAGCTATGAGTGCATATGCGGATACGTGGTATAAAAAATACTGGACAAGTAGTGGCGTGGATGAAGTGGAATTAAATAAGGTGTGCACATATGCTAAGTGCATTTTGGGTCACAGTGATAGGAAGGCTTTGGGTGGACTTATTACTGAGGAGGAAATTGAAATTGCTTTACACGGAATGAGGAAGGGGAAGGCCCCGGGTATTGACGGTTTACAAGTGGAATTTTATTTGCAGCATTGGGAGTTGATTGGGAAGTTCATGGTAAGATTATTAAATTGTATGAAGGAGAAGGGTACGTTAGGGGATAAGCAGAATACGGCAGTTGTGGTGTTGGTCCCGAAAGGCAAAGGGCAGCCAAACCTTGGGAAGTATAGGGCGATATCGTTGCTCTGTGCAGACTATAAGGTTTTCGCAAAAAATTTGGGTAATAGGGTAAAATGCGTGGTGGGGAGGGTCGTTTCGCCATCGCAGTATGGGTTGCCGGGCAGGTCGATGTTAGAAGGTCACGGGCTTTTAAGAAGTTTTGTGGAGTCAAAGGGGGGAGGGGAGGTGGCGGCTTTACTGGCCTTGGACTGGCGGGCCGCCTATGATAGAGTGGAAAGGGGTGCACTGCAGAGTATTCTTCGAACAGGATTATGGAGAAGAAATAGTTGGGTGGGTAAACACGCTGTATAAGGGGGCAAAGATGAGGGTACAAATAAATGGGTGTATGGGGACGGACTTTGAGATGGGTAGAGGTTTAAGACAAGGGTGCCCTATGTCACAGATCTTATTTGCGTGTTTTCAGGATCCCTTTTACAGGATGGTTGAGAGCACAGTAAGTTCCCGGGGTGGGGGTGGGGTAGGGGAAGGGGATTGTTGACCGGCATTAAAACCCTTTATCGTGTTGGGCCGGAAAAATTCGGTATTAATTACGTGTTTTGGGGGCGTGTCATACTCCGTGCCCCGCGCGGCCAGCTTCCCGTTCTTTAGTTCCAACCAATCACAAGCCTTCCCTGAGTCTCTTCAGCTAAGTACAGTTCGCTTCTGCCGCCTTCCATTGGTGAGAGATCAAATATAAACACTGGTGGCTTGGCTCCGCCCACACATGCATTTTTCCCTCCACCCTTACTAATCTACTCTTGGATTATACATTCTACAATGTCGGTAAGTACTGATTGTTGTGTTTAGTGCTTACAGAATATTTAGCCATATTTTGATATATACCTAAAGTCCGTGTGAAGCATAATATGAGTGTAGGCAGGTTTCAGGTCCTGGGAGTAAACAGTACCAGTCCTACACCAAATGGTAAAATACCTTTAAGAGTTATGCCTGTTACTACTGTAACAAAACTGGACACACTCAAAAGTTTTGCTGGTCAAGGCGGCGAGATCAGGAAAGGGAGGAACCACCCCAGAGGACTCTAACTGTAGACACACATCCAGTTGCCTGTATTTCAAAGCAAGGTGAGGAGGTACCCTTAGGTCTAGACCCCAGGATGCAGGTATTTTCTAGTAAGTCCACAGTTGTTTTGCATAAGGATGTGGGTAGGGTTGAGAATATAGTGTCCTTGAGAGATGGATGTAGC